AAATTTCCAATTATTAAAATTTCTCGAAAATTTTTAGAAACTTTTAATTTTTGTACTCGTAAGAAAAATGAGATACCAGTTAACGACTAGAAGTAATGGCTGGCTTTCCGAAGACGAATTCGTTGTCAAATTGTTTAACAGCGGGGTATTGTTATCAAGATGGTGTTGTTGGAACCCTATTGGTCGGCTCTACACTCATCTTTCCTCGGCGTACATACTGAAAGTGTGTTCGATTTATCGCAGGAAAGGATCTTCGCTATGCTCGTGTGCTTCCGAGTATAGCGCTATTTGAGGGTTGGCTGCAAATGGAAAGGAAAATTTGTCTTCCACGTTGTTCTTCTATTGTTTCACAAGATTAATTCCCATACTCGGGGTGATGTAAAGTGCTCGTACAAGTTCTTTGTACCTGTTTTCGTTGATGTATCAATTAATTAGCGGCCAACGTCTAGATTCTTTTACAAAAATAAATAATTCTATGTTCTAACAAGAAACTTTTGAATTATAAAAAAAAAAGAAACAATTCATTTATAAAATAAATAGTTTGGAAAAAATCTACATTTCTAATCTAACATTTTAACAACAATCACAATTAAATCATCTTCATCGTCTCCTCAAACTTGATCTGAAAAATCATATAAAAAGATTAAACTTCGAATCGATAGAAACGATAGAAATTTCATTTCAGTCATAAAGGAAGATGGACGACTCCGTGCACGTTCCAGAATTTATCTGACTCGAAGATCTCGAAAGAAAAAAAAAAAAAAAAAAAAAAAGATCGATCTATCGTTGTAATTTTCGACTGACCAGAGAGGTGGGGAGAGGGGAAGAAGAACTATAGTTAATTTCGAACGCGAGCCACTGTATAATAAATACGCAGGAATGTTGTTCAGAAGAGGCGGTTACAGCGAGGAAGCTGGCGCCGAATTTAAAACCGAGCCGCGTATCCTTAACAGAAATAAAAGTGTGACACGGTGGCCCGTTCCTCAATGGCTGTGCAAAAGTTGCTCGCGCGATCGGAAGGCGTTTGATACCTGGGCCGGATTCTCCTCGTGGACGTTAGGTCAATTCTCCGCGAGCGGCCATTACAAAAAGAAGAAAAAGAAAAAGAGAAAGAGAAAGAAAGAAGATTCGGCGGACCGTGTACGCGTGCGCGCACGCACACGCTCGCGCAGGAAGTGACGAGGAAGGTGGCGGTTGCGTCGGATAGAAGAAGAGGGAAACCTGCTCAAGATGAGACGAGAATGACCGGGGGGCAGCGCACGCGAATCCATAATGATACACCATCGAGCGAGCAGGCCTCTTGCCTGGATAAAAACGAGTGGACACTGTTCTCGCGCGGAATCACGTCCACCGCGTCAACTTGGCCCTCCTTGTCCTCGAAAAATGTGAGCGTGGCTCGTTAAAAATTATGCCGCAAAATCGATACTTGGTCCGCCGCTGAAAAATTCAATCAACCGTGGGGACGATCTTCACTCGGCCGCGCTTCATTGGGAGCCGCTTGCTCGTGTAAGCGGGATTATTATTCGGCCAGTTGTTTTCGAACCGGACTCGAGTTCACTTTCCATCTCGTTTCGTATTCACGCCCGCCAATTTCGGAATGTGTAATTGCACGATTGCGTGTTCTCGGTTTCTGCGGTTTTCGAGAATCAACGCTCGCGGTTTTCCGACTCTCGTCGTGGATGGAACAATGTTGTCTCATTTCGGGAACGAGTTAATTCCAGCGACGAGGATCGGAACGTGTTCAAAGAAAGAGAGAGAGAGTTTCACGAATAAATAGTATTTTTGGTATCGCGATGGAAAGATTATTCTTCTTAGAATTTTAGGTTATGTTTTTGTCCAGACTTCGATCGAGGAAAAATTCAACTGAAACAAATAAAGTATACGTTTAACGATGTTCATTTTAATTCTATGTAGTAAAATCGGCCTAATTGAATCGAGGTAATGGGATTAATGGCGTCGAGTTAATAAGAGGTTGGAAAGTTACCGTTCCAGGAATCATGCACCACACGCGTTCTTTCGTAGAAATGACTGCAGACACAGAGGTACAATTGAGGAAAAAAGAAAGCAGAATGATTTACAATGAGCGTCATGGCATTGCAGACGTAAAATTAAGTAAAATTTCAACGATATGAAAAAAATGTTTCCTTTAAATATAGTACATATAATGGTCTCGCACAAATATTCGAATCCAATAAGAGTGATTATTTCTTCTTTTTACTTCTTCTTTTTATTTGAAATAAAAATTATTCTGTACGAGTGTAAAAAGTTTTTTCAAAAAAAATACTTTTTTGAAAGAGTACAAGAGCTGAAAGTACAAGAATTGCGCAGAAAGGATTAATGAATCTTCACATGTACGGCCATAAACAATTTGGAAAGTGCATTTTTAATACACGTTATAAGTTTACTTACATATTTCACTACGTAAAGAAGAACAGGTAATCCTATGATCATCGATCGAAAATGTCAGTCGATTGATAAATATCGATCTGCTGTTCGTAAAAACTACTTCTCAAATGTATCGGCAAAATCAATTGTACTTCTTTTTCCTTTATTTTTTCGTCTCTCATTTCTCAATAAGAGAATTGTATTTAAAGAAAGTTCTACAAACAACCATTGTAAATTTTAAAAAGGTTAATTAATTCGATTTTGAACAATTATGCATTTAACGTGTTTTATATATATATATATTATATATATATATTATATATAGTATATATATATATTACTTACGTGATTGATTAGGAAGCAGAAACGAATACTATCTTCTTTGAATAGAAAAAACGATGAAAAAGAAAAAAAATGACACAAAATCCAGAACAACGAATTTAAAGAAACAGCGATCGGTTGTCGCTGTAAAGATGATTAAATTATTACCAAATCGTTTTTCTTTGAGGTTAGTTTGTAGTACGCGAAGAGGGCGTTGCGCGAAATGAGTTACGTACGTATATGCGTTGGTCTATTTTCTTTCCCCTGTAGGTTCTGTTAGTGCCGATTCCACCTCCAGCTCGTTTATTTTCACGAGGCAACAGTGTTTCAGTCGCTGAACGGAGGGTGCACGCACGCCGAGAAAATAAAAGGCAGCCGCCTCGGGAGCGCGTTTCACGATACACCGGCTCATCGCCGGAGAAAAGGATCGGCCACGCGGCGGGTCAGACAGAGACGAAGAACCCGGGTTCGGTGGGAACCCGAGAAGTTGCTGCCGGTCCCGCTCCCGTCGTCGCTCTAGCGATGGCCACCGATCGCCCTCGAAACGTATCAAACTCGCTCTGGTCATCATCTCGATGCGATTTCAATGCAATTTTTTATCCTATTCGACTTTGTTTTCTATTGTTTCACTTCGTGAAATTTGCGTACGTCTTCCCAATAGTAACGACATTGATTTTATTCATTTATCGTCACCGTAATATGGTTCTGTAAAAAAAAAAAAAAAAATCTGAAAAATTTCAAAAGTTGAGTTACTGAATAATATCGATCGATATTCGAACGTAAGTATGTAAATTTTTAACATCTGTGAGTGAATACGATTGGAACTGTGTAAATCTTTCTAGTACATACGTAGGCCATCACTGGCGGAGAACAACAGAGGAGAACATGAATAAAATGCAGCCACGCAGCGTGAGTACGTTGCCTGGAGTAAGTACTACAAGCGTTTGAGAGTTGAAAGAAGCAACTCGAGAAGGCGAGTAAATCTGACGGCGCCCGAGAGAACAGAAGGAGAAGAGAAAGAGGAAGAAGAGAAAGAAGATCGAGAAATAGAAGTAGAAGAAGAAAGAGGGCTGAGAAAATGTAAAAGGAAACAAAGGAAGGGGAGAAGAAACGTTGTTCCCAAGAGAGGGTGGAGATGAATCGGGGAGATACTAATCGGTATTTCTTGATAGCGAGAGGAAGGGGGACAGAAGAAATTGGTGAGAACGAAAGTAGGAGGAAGTGAGATAAAATTTTAAGATACCGAGCGTGGCGGTCGCGTGGCGTGCAAACGACTGCGCATGCGCATGTGCTAGCGTCACGCTCAATTTACCTCGCTTATCAACGTACTAATCGCACCTTAATTTCCTATCCTGTATAATTAATTTTCCATCGCACATTTGTTCAAAATTTCCACATTTTATCATAATATCGAATCGAATATTTCGAAAACGATCATATTATCTTATTTTTCATCCCTCATCATGAAATTAGTAGAAATTCCAGACACAAAATAATTTTTTTAAGGAACTATCGTTATTACGATGCAAAAAATTTGTCCACCTTTACACATTTTTCATTCTGGATAAAAAATGGAAGGATAAACGTACTCGAATAATAAGATCTAGAGAAACATTTCGGCGGGGTAGGAAGAAAGACACGATGCGAAAACTCGACCCAGAACCAATGGACATTGAAGAGGGACAGTGGCACGCGCGTTACAGCATTCTCCGGAAGAATGGCAAAAAAGTATGAAACGCTACCGTACTTGGCAGCGACCACGAAACGAGTCGCTTGTTTTCGTTACTTATAACGATTACAACGGTACCGAGAGTACTACGATTCCAGTGCATCAGGCTTGTGGATTGAAGCCATTGGAACGCGGTGAAAACGAAAAAAAACCGGTATACACCATATTCGGTAACTGTTACCACGCTGCATCGACAACTCGTCAACGACTGGCGCGCGCGCACCTATGTGCTTGGAAAGTGCGCATACGTTCGTACGCTTCTCGAAAAAATCGCGCAAAAAAGTCTGACCGAATTGAGCGTATGCGCACGCCTGCGAACATTTTTTACTGTGAATAGATGACTCGGTGTCATCGAGCTTGTAAAATATCGTTGCGCAATATAAAGAAGCTTTTACAAGATTATTTACTGCATTGTAACGCACGAATCGACGATAGCTAATCTGAACAGATATAGATAACAAAATTTTAAGAGAAGGAAAAATAAAGTTATTTCAATAATTTAATAAGATATTATATAATGGATCAATTATAATAATTACGAATAAATGTTATTTAAACATTTTAAATAAACTTATTATTTAAAGTAACTTTACTCGAAATTTTACCTCAACTCTTAATCTGACAATCACAAATAAAAACAATTTTTTACAAAAATTCTTGATTTTCATAAAATTAAAAATCCATGTCCAATAACTAATCAGCTGATACAAAATGAAAATTATAAAATAATATCTTTTAACATTCGTCACAGTTCGCATTTGAACATTTGGGAAGCCTCATTATCATCGGATAGTGGATCGCAGGTATTGTTTATTTCCGAACACACGCACGCGTTGGCACATCAAAACAAGGACGAAAAAGGAAGCTACAGGTTTTCGAAGGTTTGTTCTGGTCAGGCCCAAAACGATCGGGAACGGTGGCTTGTTCGGTTTGTAGGTTCGTGTGCCACGGGGCCAGTAGGCTCCCCCTTACATGGAAAGTATTGGTGCGCACGCGCGAATCGTCTTACCTTGGCCACGGTCCCTCGTGCGAGTTTACACGTTAATCCATTCGTGCAAATTGCGCGCACGAATCATCCTATCGTTGCGTTTTTCAATTTCATCCACACCGTGCCTTTGCCAAACCCTATCTGATCTGCGCTCCTTCGAGGAACATCCTTCCAAAGATATTACCTCGCCTCTCTATCCTCTCTCGGTATGCCATTCATAGTTATTGGACGTCGATTTGAATTTCTAATTTTTCTTTCTTGCATGCCAGAAAAATAGATGAATATTTATTGAATTTGAATAATATTTTTTAATTCTCTAATTATAAATCCCAGCTGCAAATCTTGTTGCTATCTAATAATCGATTATAAAAATGCATATATAAACGATACATCAAATTTCCTTTCTTTATATCTTAATTTTTTCATCAAAAATATCAGATTCGAACAAGAATTCTAACAAGCGTTTAAAAGAAAGAAACACAAAACAAAATAAAAGAACACTAACCAACACAAGAACAACGTAGTACAAAGAGAGGATAAATCAACAGGAATTAGATAAGTAATTGACAAATAACTTTCTGTCCAAATTACCGGGGATGTCGACTCGACCATTAATTGGTCCTCCGGTAATTATGATACGTCGCGTATCGCACCCGAAAGCAGCCGCGTGTGCGTGCACGCTGACGATTCTACACTCTTGAGAACTTGATTGAAAAAAAAAAAAAAGAAAAAAAACAAAAACTGCCCCGTGCCCTTCCACCGAGAGGGACCACCTTGAGCATCCTCCTCTCTCTTTCTCTTATATTAATAATTACGCCGCCGAAACCTGTCCGGGTATATACACTGGTGCAGAGTACGCCGGGAGGAGCAACAGGCTGCTCGTTGCTGCTCGTCCAGGTACTCGTAATTGTCGGGCCCTCTCTTTCGATCCTCTCGCTGAATACCACACAAATACGCCACGAGTTTACCCGTGGAAACGAGCGAGAGGAGCGAATTCCAACCGAAAATCGAGCACGTGCTTTTTACGAGAATGTATAGGTACGCGTGTATGGTGGAGTCATTGGCGTAGGATCAAGACGTTCCGTATAGATTAGAGATGATGGATATTTTCATTCCAATATAACAAGATGATAATTTTATCATTTACAATTGGTAGGAACAGTATCAGATATCGATGGATGGAGAGCAATATAAATCGCCGCCGATTGATGAGTTTTATATCATCGATAGGATGACTGGTGCCTTTCGAATAACACAGATATCGATTAAGGATATCTCATCGCTCGTAAATATTCTTTCACGCTATGTTAATCTGTTTGTAAAACGTTTTTTTTTTTTTCTTTCTTTCTTTCTTTTGCTCGACATTCCTGTTGTTTCTTGCACGATGAAACGTCCTCCTTTGAAAATAAAAGAAATATATATATATATTGTCCGTAATTCTTTCACATCGTTTGCACGAGATTTTCTTTTTTGCTCGACATTCCTGTTTACCTCTTGCGCGATGCTGTACTCCTGGTTGAAAGTAGAAGAAACATTTGTCTATAATTTCAATTCTAAGCCTCTTTTTCAATTTAATCTTGAAAAAAAAATTAATTTTAACGCGCAAAGTTTACAGCATTCGCTTGATTTTCGTTATTCATTGATAATGACGATGACAAGCCGATCTAATAAAGCGTAATCAAGGTTTATAGTTACATGGAAAGAATCGTACAAAGGGAACACGAGCGCAAAAATCACGATATATCCCTGCAGGATTTCGATAAATCTTGATGTCATTGTCAAAAGGAGGGCGTGATTTCGGCAAAGTGGCTGCTACCATCGAAGCTGAGAATGGTTGGAATCGCAGTAAGCGGCCGATTGAATAGAATACCGCAAGAAAACCCCGTCTCTCCACGCTCCATAATTCCGCGGCTCGAGCCGTCTCTCTCTCTCTCTCTCTCTCTCTCTCTCTCTCTCTCTCTCTCTCTCTCTGTCTCTCTTTCTTTTTCTCATTTTTCCACCGCAAACTCGGCTTCCTTTTATTTTTCACGGTTTCTTCCCCCACATTCCCTCCTTCCCTCCGCCGCGTATCTCTGAGGGGGGTGACAAAGAGTCGCTGTCGAAGGAAGAGAATGAACCGATGAATGGTGGCGGTCAATGCCGAGGCGTGAGACCCCAGGACACCGTGGATTGTCCTCCGGGAGAAAACGACACAGAGAATGAATGGGGAAGAATGGGCTCCAAACGAGGCAAAGTTAGTCGACCTGAGGGTACCTGTACGGCAAGGGAAAGGGAGAGGCAGATTCACGAGAGGAAAAATGGACGGAGGAATCCGGGATCTCGACGTAAAAACTGCCCCTCCAATTGGAAATCGCGTTTCTTTCCCCCTTCTCGTTGCGATAATATTTTCCTAGGACTATACGAAAACTCGATACCCTCGATTTTGGATTCGTGCTGCGATCTCGTTTCTTCTCCACGACAAGTATACCGAGGATACTCTTCGATTCTTTTATCCATGGATTAACTGTTGCGACAAAGGCTCGATCGTATTCTCTCTTCCCTCTCCTGTAGATTTCTCTCTCTCTCTTTTCTTCAGGTAATTCAATAAAAGTAAATATTTTTAGGAGCTAATTCCATTAGCTCTATTCAATCGTTGGATGGATCTTGTTCTTCTTGATCTTGTTAAAATAGAGAATCACTTCAACTTTCTTTACTTTAGTCGAACAAAAGAATTTCTTGCTGTAAATGCAAGTTTTTAATTCCTTTTGACGAATTTTCTTTATTATCCTTGTGTTTTTAATATATTTATAGCCTATATAACCTATATAACTAAGATAACCTATATATAATATATATATATATATATATAATATACAATATATAATGAATATATATATGAATATATATAATATATATATAGGTTATCTTCGATAAATACAATTTGTGAATATTCTAATTGCGATGAGTTCTCTTTCCGTTGAAGAGTTGATCATGGAACGAAAGGGGGAAGCTATAAAGATTGAGCAGATTAGCTTTGTTGCAATATGAGCATCTTCTTAATTTTTTTTACAGATCAGTAGGCTCGGCTACGTTTTTTTAATCCATATAGCCTTTTTAAGACCCTTCCTGGACTTTCACGTTGTGTATATTTAGGCTGATATTAGGCCTTGCCAACTTCTATGCGGTTGCTTATTAACTTCCCTCTAGTATATTGCCTTCGTAGTACAGTCAACAACTGGATCCTCCGCGTTTATCGTGAATTATTTCTTTTTCCCCCGTCGTTTTTAATGGTTTCAGAAGCATGACTAATTTCTTCATGCCATATAAGATTGATAGGATAATTATAGTTCAAGTAGTTAATGTTGATTATTTTCGCAAGCATATCTCAATACAGGTATAATATAAAGTATTTATTTATAGTATCATCTAGGCTAAAGTTGCAATTTTGTTGAGATCGAGTATTAACTCTAGACTTCCTCATTTTAGAGTTATAATTTCTCATATAGCAAAGTAGATATTATTACGGAAATCTGAAATAAAACAAATGTAAATGTAATAAAACAATATGCTAAACTAATAATTTGAAAATGTTGGAAGAATTAACAGAGAGTGATAGAGAATTATTTTTCATGAATTTGGAAAATTTAAATATTGATAAAGATAATATCTTTCTTTTAAAAATAAACTTTACTTTTTTACTTTTTAAATTTTTAACCTTGTATTAATATCTTGTAAAATGCTTGAAAAGATTATAGATTCATGGAATTTCAAATATAAAAATACTACTGATAAAGTCTTCTTTGTCGTTTCGCAACTTTAAATCGTCCTTCTTCAACTTGTTCCAACATCAAGTACAGTGCAAAACGGAACATTACGTCACATGAGTACAATCGAGCTCCAGTCAAGCTGAATCGCGTTGTAATCGTAAAAGACGGCTAGCTAAGCAAATATTTATAGTCACTTCCTGCCTTGGGACTTTCTCACAGGCAAGGGATTCCAGTATATAGACGTAGGAAAATGATCTTCAAGGATCACCTCTTGGTAAATCGTTTTTACCGTGGAAGATCTACAAAAAAAAAATGAAATTCGATCAGCGTGACAAGCTTCATCAAAAATTCATAATCTTTATTTTAAATGGATAAAATACTTATAAACTATTGTTTATTTTATCTGAAAATCTGAATATCTTTGAAATTATATTTACATATTATACAATAATTATTATACAATAATTAAAATTATGCATACCTTTAATACTTACTTTAATAACCTTTAATAACGTTTTCAATATTTACTAGCTATTTAATTTATAACAATCATATATGATTGATAAAAGTTATACCATTAAATTGAATTAGCTCGTAACAAATGAACAGCATTTCTTTATTAAAATATGATTTTAAATAACAATAAGTAAATAATTACTGAAAAAATGTGAATGATTTATTTGTAAAGAAAAGTTAATTTTAATTCTACATTCATAATCTATCCTAATCAAAGTAACGATATATTATAAAATATATTATAAAATGATTTACTTTAAAATAAAAAATTCATTCTTTCAAAGTTTTGTGAATTGACAATTTCAAAGCGTTTCTCATTGTATGTATCTGAAAAAAAAAACCAGGCATTGAAATATTATACAAATCGTTAAAAGTGGTGTCAAAGGAAAGAAATGCATATCTTTTAATTATTATCTGTTCCTCGACTCCCGAAACCTGTGATTCTTTTTTATTCTGAGCTCCTTTTATTTTTTTGATGGTTGTTTAATACATCCAGTTTTTGCGACCTCCCAGGAAGAAATCCAGGTGGTCTGTGTATCTCTCGAGGTTGACTTTCTTCCATCCGGTATAGTAATATGCCGATTTCGATATCGACAAAAATAATAATTGAGATCGAGCAGTCGATAAATCGAGAAAAGATACGATGAGAAATATATCTTTCGACAAAGTTAGATTTTTCTTTCGTTACCTTTCTTTTTTTCTTTTTTTTTTTTTATACTGGCAAGCAACGATTAGAAAGTAATTAACGCCTCGATCGTTTGTACATCGTTAAATTGGACCCCCTGCAGCCACTACCCATCTTCAACCGGATACTCGATGTTTCAACGGGGGATCCTATTGTTTTCTTTGAACTGCTTTCTCATCATCCAAAGTAGATGAATCTCGTTAATAATTCTGACATATTTTTTATGGAAGAAATATGAATTATCGATTAAGAAAATCGTTTAAGAAAACATTACCAAGAGTTTAATATAATACGTACATCCACTGCATCGTCTACTTTCCAATGTTAATTTATTTTTCTTGCTTCTTTTATATAACGAAGAAAATTTTTCTTTTTTATTATATTCTGATCAAATCTGGAAATTCGATCGTTCCTACCTGAAAAAAATACAAATTAATTTTGTTACTCTTTTAGAATCTTTTATATCATGGTCATTGAATTAGTCTAGAATGAGATCTTTTTAAAAGGAAAATTTAACGAGTAATCCAACACGATGGTAAGATGGTTTTTCCGCAACAAAGGTTTAGGTTATATAGGGAATAATAAAAAAAAAAAAAAAAGGAAAAAGGAGAAGAATGACAGAACATTGGTGTTGTGTCCCCGCTTCTTGACAGTACTAGCAATGAAATGAAAGGGAAGGCACGGTAATTGAAGTTAAACGAGATAGCCAACCATTCATAGGTTACGGAATCACGACAATGAAGCTCGCTTTTCGTTGAACGGTTGCTTCGGGCGACAGACAATAGCTCTGCTGGAGTTTATACCGTTGGCGAGAAGTTACGTCGTAATACCGTGACCATTCTGCTATTTTTCTACGAGAAACACTCTCGCAAATTCCATTTTTCTCTTCACAAAATTGTTCTTCTTGATTTATGTTGATCGTCTTGAATTAAACTTTCCCCATTAATCAAAATCTTATGTATTCATTCGATTTAATTTAATTAATAATTAAAATTATGCATACGTTTAACTTACTTTAATAACCTTTAATAACGTTTTCAATTTTTACTTACTATTTAATTTATAATAATCATATATGATCGATGAAAGTTAAATCAAATCATTAAATGAATTAATGTAATAAATGAACAGTATTTCTTTATTGAAACATGATTTTAAATAACAATAAATAAATAATTACTGAAAAAATGTGAATGATTTATTTGTAAAAAAAAGTTAATTTTAATTCTACGTTCATAACCTATTCTAACCAAAGTAACGATACATTACAAAATATATTATAAAATGATTTACTTACACATACAGCATGTAGTATATTTTTAAGAATATATTTCCTTTATTATGTCTCTTTACACTACCATAATACTATTTAAATATTTTCTGAATTATAATTTGTATGCGTTTCGTATCCTTACTTCATAATCCGTTGACATTTTACCCAATAAGTTACGAAGAAAATAATTAAAATAATTTTCAATGATCAACGCCATCTCGCGTTTGGATACTGGAAGCTTCGACTTGTTACTAGCATAGCAGAATATACGAGGAGGTATGCGAATCGTATGACGTCACAGACAAGGTACGCAACATTGTGCGAGAAAGATAACAAGCATTTTTACTTTATCGCATGGAAAATTCATTAATTATTCGTTTTCTACTTAAAATTTCAAAACTTTTACACTCATATCTTAAAGCTAGAAGTTCAGGCATGTTTCCTGTATCAATTTTATTGTGAAATAGCTTTCTATTAATTATTTATATTAATGATTAATATATCGTAATTTCTAATACATCGAGACGCCATATTGAAAATTAATTAATTACGCATTTTCTAAACAAAATTTATGCACTTTTAAACTTGCATTTTAATGCTAGAAGTTCAGACAAGCTTCTCTTATCAATTTTAACGTGAAATTTTTATTAATTAAATATTTATTAACAATTACGCATTAATACATTGTAATTTCTAATACATCGAGACGCCATATTGAAAATTAATTAATTACGCGTTTTGTAAACAAAATTTATCCACTTTTAGACTTGCATTTTAATGCTAGAAGTTCAGACAAGCTTCTCCTATCAATTTTAATGTGAAATTTTTATTAATTAATTATTTATTAACAATTACGCATTAATACATTGTAATTTCTAATACATCGAGACGCCATATTGAAAATTAATTAATTACGCGTTTTGTAAACAAAATTTATGCACTTTTAGACTTGCATTTTAATGCTAGAAGTTCAGACAAGTTTCTCTTATCAATTTTAACGTGAAATTTTTATTAATTAATTATTTATTAACGATTTTTATAAGGAGAATTTTATTTGCAAATCCCCTTTCTTTCGTCGAGTTATAAACAATTAGTTTTTTCATTTAAACAAAAATAAAATTGCGAGTAAAATTTATATGTGAATATAGTAGTGGAAGTAACGTTTCAGATTCGTGTAATTATATTTATAAATAAATGCAGCAATAATAATAAATTAATGAAAAATACGTCGCGTACGAATGACGTCAATCCGATGTTTACGCAATAATCGATTAATAAATGATTAATTGAAAAGAACATCGAATTAAAATTGACACGAGAAATTTGTCTGAAGCTTCAGCTTCATGACACATTCTCGAAAGTATCGAAATTTCAATTGAAAAACGAATAATTAATTAATTTTCAATACGGCGTCTCGATGTATTTAGAAATTACGATAGGTTAATAATTAATAAATAATTAATGGAAGAATTTCGTATCGAAATTGATATGAGAAATTTGTTTAAAGTTCTAACTTTAATATACAAGTCTAAAAGTATATAAATTTTTATTGAAAAAGTAATAATTAATGAATTTTTAATATAGCGTGGTCGAAGTGGTGGGGGGTATTAGGAACCGTATAACCAAAAATAGTGGCTCGTCTATTCTGTCCTTCTCGCACGATGTTGTTCTCTTTCCCCCGTGACGTCACGAATACCTCCTTGCACATTCTGCTATGCTAGTAACGAGTCGAAGCTTCGGTGATCCAAACGCGAGATGGCGTTGATCACCGAAATTTTTATCCTTGTCTAACTTATGGATAATACAATACTCCGCTGTCATTTACAAGAGAAGAAACGCGGCAGAAGAAATTCTAACGTTCAGAAATAATTGTTTGAAAAGTTTCACATGGGTTTAAGAAAATTAAGAAGAGGGAATTAGTTAGAAGAAAAGGTGAAAATAAAAGACAAATATTCATAAGGTATGATATAAAATCTTTACGTTTTTTTTCAAGAAATTTCTTCGTTTCAATTTTTATAATTTTAGAAAAAAATTATTCCAAAGAAAATACGTGATATTTTCTTTGAAATTTACACTTATCTCGCACAGTGTATCTAAAACTGAAGCAAGACATCACGCCACGTCTGTCTGAGCGCGACACATTCACACCAAAGATAGACTTGGCGATACAAAGCGAAAGATAACAAGATCGATACTCCAGTTTCTGACTTCTCGACTGAACGAACTCCCGCGGTGACTATACCACCTCGCGCTATACTGGCTAAGAACCACGTGTGTGTCTCCGCCAACAGATCGAGATCGACTGATTCCTTCTCTCGAACGCAAGACAAAGGCAAAGGCTTCGTAAACAATGTCCCACTGCGATCGTGTTTCAAGAGATGACCGATGACCTTATTCGTTTTGACATTGGCCAATGAAAGATTCCCAAGGACTCGGATAAAATCTCTAACCCTGCCTCGGTTTACGAGCACAGCTACAGAATGAATCCAAGAGAATGATTTAAATAACGAAGATGGAGATTATCAGCCACTGTATCTGTTCCGGTCCGATAATAAACATCGTCCTCGAAATGTTTTATATATATATATATATATATATATATATATATACTCGTACTTGAAATTAAGAGATCGTGAAGTGTACGATTCCATTATTATCTACAAATTTCTTTTTACTTATCATGGACATAAACCCATTAAAAAAATAACTAGTTAAAAATTTCGAATATATTGTATAACAAGCATTTTATTCGTGGATAATTTTGATTGTTTACCATTACAATTATTATTATATTTTGAACGATAAATTATCGAAATAACTTTATTCGTAACTTTGACTTCGAAATTTTGATTTTTGATAAAAACCAATGGTAAATCTGTCACGAGATCACGAAATCAGTGGCCGACGATCATTTTTAGAAGTACGTCGTAAAATGTTGTTCTAAAAGAAACACGGACGGTTAGCCATAGGTAGAGATGATTCTATCTATGCGCCAGCATCTCTCGCGCGTCGAATTCCTGGCGAAACGAGAGGAATCCCGAGGAAGCCGTTCCTCATCACGACCACCCACGACATTCGTCGTGGCGAATTCGTAAGGGCACAAGTTTCCCCTATCCCTTCTCGTCTCCCTCCCCCCTCCCTCTTTCCCCTTTCTTTGCCCTTTGCTCCATTCAACTCTTGGAAAAACTGGTCGCTAAAATGGAATCGAAGTGGAAAGGAACGACGACCGCCCGCGAGGATCGCTCATGAAAACGGCCCCCCTTTCTATCGTGCCCCCGAGGGATGCTTTTCACGATCACTTCCGGCACACAAGAGGCGACGATTTTATTAAGTCTAACGCGCGCCTCTCCTCGAAGTAAATTCACTGTTATTCGAAATCCAATTTTTCTGATATTTTTTCGATATTTAGAAAAATTTTTATTTCGAATTTTTAATAGAAAAAAAAAAAAGAAAAATTCTCGTCTCGTTTCTTCTAGAAATAATGCTCTCTCAGCTTTGGATCTAGACACGGCGGACGGATAGAAGTTTCGAAAAAATAAAACTCGCTTTTAATTATTCGAGCGGGTGTAGTTGGCGGGCATGTACACGCGTCGACGGCGAGCCGTGATCGCGAAAGGAAGAGCGGAATATATTACAGCCTCGTTTCCTTTCGACCTGCCACTCGGTTAAAATCTCACTTTCGAGATAAACGACGAGTAAAACACCGCTGAAACCGAATACTCGTATAAATTACAGCGACAATCCCAATTAACGTATCATTCTCCTTGCATCATTTTTTCCGGAAAATCGATCGTATTCCTTATATAAAAAAAAAAAAAAAAAAAAAAGAAAGAAAAGAAGGGACAATTATTCCATTCCAATCGAACCATCCTCGTAGATTTTTTTATATTGCTTCTATCCCCGATAAATTCGAAACGATGAAACGAGAGTTCGTATTTTTCGAAGAAAAATTATGAAGTCTCGTTATCGATAAGATATAACATAAATCCTTTAAAGTAGTCTACCTACTTATTTTAAAACTTGGTATCGAACAGGTATCGCTTGTTATTTACCACTTTCCATCGTGTCACAATCAGGATCAATTTGATCGCACGGGGAAACTTCGAGTTCGACAAGAATTCGCTAAAATTAAAAAAAAAGAAT